ACGGTTACTTGGTGAACTACATAAAATTAGTCAGAAAAAGCTATGTTAAAGAACCTTAATGTTCTTTTTAATGTTTGAGTGCAAAGTCAAGCACTCTAAGATTAGGAAATGCCAGAATTAAGGTTGCCTGTGCAACCTTAATTCAATCCTTTTGTGTGTATGCTTTATGATACAGTCTTTAATGACATGTTCACATACTATTTTTCCCCACAAGACTACTACCTCATTCAGTGCACAGGATGAATGGTGCTCACTTAATGAACAGCATTTCAGTGTTTTGTTTTCTCCTTGTTCACTATATGGCCCCATACCTTACTTACTGCACTCTCCTCAAACACTGCTCAGAAGACAGAATTATTAGTTCCCTCCTACGCTTTTCTGTGGTGCTTGTCATTGTCACATATGAATGCTTCACAAACATTAATGGATTTATTTTCGAAACCCCCCTGCGAGATGAGGGGGTATTATTATTTATTATCCCCATTTTATAGATAGCAAACTGTGGCACAGCAAGATGCCCAATTTGAGACATTTAGGACCTAATATTTTAAAGAGTATTTAGCATTATTTGGCACTTTGTTTGTTCAGAACACAGTTCTTATTGAGTTCAACTGTGAGCACTCAGCACTTGTGCAAATGTAACCGGAGGGTCCCAAGTCAGGCACCCCTGAAATGAGGAACGCACAATTAATGGTTCCTGGTGAAAGGTGACTTGACTACCATCAGAGAGGACCTCTTGGGCAGAGACAGGGATAGAATCCAGTTCTCCAGGGTAGCAATAAACTGCCTTAACCATGAGACTGTCCTTTTTCTTCCTGCAGACCACTGCCTCATTCACTACACACATTCCAACTTCTGCCAAAAAAAAAAAGAGATGGATCCTGTAGATAGCAGCCTCCTTCATTGTGCAATCCTGATTCATTTTCGGAGCAGGTCCATCCAATGCACAGAATGAGGCAGGGGTCCTGTGAAAAAAAAAAAAGGGCTCATGTAATTAAAGACCATATTGTAATTAGGGCTCTGTGTCTGTCACGGATTCTGTGACTTTTCATGACTTCTGCAGTGGCCAGTAATGCTGACTCCAGGGCTGCCCAAGCACCTGGCTCCAGGGCCAGCTGCTCAGGTTGCTGCTGGAGCAGCTCTTGCAGCCAGTCGCTCGGGCGGCCCCACAGCCAGCTGTACTGGCTGGTGCTGGAGTGGACCCGGGGCCAGCCACACCAGCTGCTGCTTGGGTGGTCCCGTGTGGCTGGCCCTGGGACTGCCTGAGCAGCGGTCCCGGGGCAGCTGGAGCAGCCGCTGCTTGGTGGTCCCTGGCAGGGGTCCTAGGGCAGCCCCCAGCCCCTCCCTGAGCAGTGGCCCCCTGGTCCCCTCCCAGTAGCGGCTGCCCCCAGCAGCAGTCTTGGGGGCGGCCAGAGCAGCCGCTGCTCAGCAGCCCCCAGTAGCTGGTGCTCCTGGCATCCCCCCCAGCAGCAGCCCCTCGGGGCGGCACCCCAGCAACATGCCCCTCCCCACTCCCCTCCAAGGTTTTTAGTCAGGGGTATTTTTAGTAAATGTAATGGACAGGTCATGGGTTGTGAATTTTTGTTTATTGCCCGTGACCTGTCCATGACTTTTACTAAAAATACCTTAATCATATTGCATATGCAGAAGGGGGCTGAAGTAAGGTTGCTTGGGCAACTTTAATTCTGGCATTTCCTAACTTTTGGGTGTTTGACTTTGCATCCTTAATAATGTTTTTTTAACAGAAATTCTGCCATGTAGCATTATACTGACACCCACATGGTTCATCACAGAGCTGGAACCTTTACATCCACCACACACTTTTGTCCCTTGAGCCAATGGAGTAACTGATAGCAGAAGTAGGTTGTTACCCTCTAGGTGGACTGGCACCAATGGGCAATGCCACACTTTATTAGTGGATTTCACAGATATTTGCTGTCAGCAGAGGAATGGTGAGACTAAGGATTTGAGTTCTATTCCTTGGTGTGGAAGGGGAGATGGGCACAAACTCTTCTGCCCATTTCCCTCATGCTTGACCCTTCTGCCCTGTCCCCTCCAACTTGTCCCAGTCTTATCTCTTCCCCACCGCTGGATCCTCATGCCACTCCCATCTCTTCACCTACCCAGTCGTAGTCTCACCCCTCTGAACACCCGTGTGCTCTTGCTCCCACTCTCTTTGCCCAGCCATCCCCAGTCCTTCCATTGCTCTTCCCTGGCTCCTTGTGCTCAGTCTCGTTGTCCAGCCAGACCCTGTTCCTTCCCCTGCACTTGCTCTCTCTCTCTCTGCCTCCAGTCACATCTCTACTGGCTCCCATACCCTGCTTCTCCGCCAGTTCCTCATCCAATCTCTACTGAGCATATGTGAAATACGATTTGCCAAAGGCTTATGACTTGGCCAAATTCAGATGGATTTTCATGGTCATGGCAATAGGGCACATCCCTGACACAAAAGTCACCTCTTGCCAAATGTCAAGTCCTCATTCCAAAGCCTGGAGCACTAGAGCATTCCAAAGAAAAGGTCCCCAGAATTTTTTTTTTAACATAAGTGAAAAATGTATCTTTCTCTAATCTCATTCTTGGTAATAGCTGAACTGTTTGGCTGAAAGTTTCCAGAAGAGTTCAGGCTGAGGTAGACACCTGTCATGGAAAATTTCAGCCCAAACAGTGAATTTGGCAAAGTTATAAGCAATTGAAAATCGGGTCTGATTATGGGAAGTTTTGGGCAGCCTTCGTAATTAATAAGCAGGGCTATCAGCCTCACCTATAATGAATGTATGGTCTCTCTCACTGTCTCTCTCTCTAGTTCTTAGTGGACAGATGTATCTATTATAAAGCTCTGTAATCACAGTGGGCACTAATTGGCATCCTTCTTGGCTGAATCAGCAGAGAGCCTAAGAATTAATGGTCATAGATACTGAATTTACCTCTTACCACTAAAGAGAGTTCCTAGGTCAAGGTTGATGCACATTGCCAAGGGAGTGTAAGGTTCAGACTATAATAAATAGTTGGCCACATTGTCAACAAGGATCTCGATACATGTACAGTTTTGTCGGTGCATTTGAATTTTCCTATGTGAATCAGGTAGTTAGATTTCTAATTACTTTATTTGTATTCACAGTTGCCCTTTGATGCAAATTTTACTCTTTGTGGTTTGCATACTTGGAGCCCATTTAGAAAACTGGGCTTTCTGTATTTCTTACTCACAAATAATTTTATTCTGTCAGTGTTTGTATGCTGCATAATAAATTTTTATATGTAGCCTAAAATATACACGTAGAATTAAATCACATTTTGACTGTTGGTACATTTTTATTGTTAAGACTAGGTTGTAAATTTATTTGGTAGTAACGTATTAGATTTATCTCCTCAAATGAAAATAGACCACTAAAAATAATGGGCATGTCGGCTGCCTAGGACAATTTTATTGCTAGTTATTGCTAAAGCATACTGCTGAGGGAAAGATTGTGAATAAGTCAGAATAATTTTCCTTCATAAGCTTTTAACAATCACTTTTCTTTTATTATGATAAAGATAAATATAATCTAATTTTTCAGAGTTACATCTAAGCAATGCACAAAATGTACCATTGGTTCTGGAAATAGTTGGACTTAATTTGTTTACAGGTTAAAGGGTGGAGGAAAGGAATATTTTTGATGTGGATAAGAACAATGAGAGTGATCCAGATGAGGGGGATGACATTGATGATAACTTTACCTATATTGATCTATCATTTGGTGGTCTCAAAATGCTGTACTAAGCAGGGCAGCCCAGAGGATTCAGGGGGTCTGGGGCAAAGCAATTTCAGGGGCCCCTTCCATAAAAAAAGTTGCAATACTATAGAATACTATATTCTCGTGGGGGCCCCTTTGGGGCCCGGAGCCTGCGGCAAATTGCCCCACTTGCCCTCTCCCCCCCCCCCCCGGCGGCCTGGTACTAAGTGGCATATTCTTTGTGTACGAAAACATTTGATAGTATTTTCTGCCTTTCTCTTTTGCATATTTTTAGAAAGATTTCATATACTTCTGAGAGGCAGTTGTCCAAGAAAATTGTGTGGGCTTCCTTCTTTGAGTTGCCTTTACCTTTCAACCCATTATTTTCTCTAAATCCCTCTCTCCAGTTCACCATACTTTTCCTTATTTAGAGATGGACATATGGGACCTTCTGAAGTCCCCATCATTGTAACTCTGTGGATTAAGAAATGCTCTGTTAATAATGCATCCAGCACCTCTCTCTAAAGCAGTGACTCCCAAACTTTATTCATTCACGTACCACCACCTTATACGTTATTGTGAAGTGAATTGATGGAACGCCAAGATCTTATATCACAATTTGGAAGCCCCTGCCTAGAGGTGAACATTATCTTTGCCCGGTTTCCCCTGGACTGCTATGTGGGAGTTCACTTATCTTTTTTTCTCTTTTTAAATGTTCTATCTGTATTAATTTTTCAAGGAAAATACTGAACAGAACCAGTGCATGACTACAAGATCAGTATGTAATAGTTACAAATATAATCTAAAAATTTTAATTTAGTGATGACATGTATATGCCATATTATAACTGCTGTAATGCATCCATGTGACAGAAAATGTTAATGAATTTCCCCCCCCAGTTCACACTGTCCTTTTTTTCCTATGCTCTGCTGTCTTATATTTACATATTAAGATGCTTTAGTAATGTTCCTAGCTTTTAGCAATATAAAACACTTGTTCAAAATAAAATGGTGCATGTTGCTGCTCACGTTCTCAAAAGAATAGGGAAGAAGATACACCTGGACATTTTTATCTGTATATGAATAAAAGAATTATCTTACTGTAGGTGTAGCAATTTGATCATTTACATGTTGCTATGTATTAAAAATAAATGATGCTTTTTTGGTAAACTTCTGTAGAGGTTAATTATTAGATACTCATTTCATCACTGTGTAAAAGAACCTTTGTACTTTTTGCATTGTCAGTAATTTAATATGAGTGCATTTAATACTTTTTCTCTTATTATACTAGCAACCAACTTCTGTAGCCGCATCTGCTGTCCACCTGGGACTTCCAGGGCAAGCCAAAGTTGTACAGTCGACTGCTACACCAGTTAGTGCTACATCTACTGCAACCTTACATGGAGGCTCCACTCTGTCACACACTACAGTAAGTATTAAAAGTGTTACCAGCACAACACGAACAAAAATGAATGCCGATGCAACCAGTCATATAGGTAAGGTTTTCTAAATGAGTTCTGGTGATAAATATTAATATACTACTTGTATTACAAAGAGGAAAAAATGAGTTTTATCCATGAGTTTATTTTCCAAATATAGTGAGGGCGAAACTCACTGCCATTGGGAGTTACACACATTAATGCCAGTGGTAAATTTGCCCCTCAAGTTCTCTAATGTGAAAGAGCCAGATTATACCACCCACATTCCTGTTTAGTAATACATTTCTCTTTGAACAGTTCCATTGAAATTAAAGGGACCACTCAAAAAGTAAAGTAACATGAGTAAGGTGTGACACATTTGAGCTCTCAAATTGTAACCTTAAGGAAGAATATTTTCTTGTTGTAATAAGCTGCTAAACTCAGCAGTAGAAGGGAAGTGTAAGTTTGCAGTTTTGGGGTTTTAAAGATTTATTATCGAATAAAAGATATTAAAGAAGGTAATTATCTGCTTTTTGATTATAACAATGTTATCAGGTATCAATAGCTACTACAAGTGCTCAGAGCTTAATTAAAGCAACAGTAGCAACTGGAACCCCAGGAACTCAACAACCTACGGTAATTTTTGGAGGACAAACTCAAACCCCAGCACAACCCCAAGGTCAGCCTCGATTGCCACTTCCACCTCATACGACAGCACAAGTACCAGCACAGCCCCAGGTCATACCTAGCTCTCCTGTACCAGGGACTACCGTTGTATCACAGGTTTGTATGTAAGTTCTGGAATGTTTGAATGTTAGAACATTAATAGGGATTTTGTTTCTTGGTTATGTGTGCACTTTTCAGTTTTATTTAATACCAAGAAGAGCTTTCACACCAACCCAATTCCCATAACATCCTGTTAGTGGCATCCTTATATATTCTGTTAAGAACACATTTTAGCTAAATACTTTGAGGGACTAGCACTGATCTTGACAGTTAACTTGGCCAACTTTGTCCAAGTGTTGTGCAATATAAGGAGTATTTCTGTAACTGAAACAAATAGACCTCTAATTATACTGCTCAACTCCATTTTTATGACTGTGTGCATACACAGGTTGTTCTATAATATCAGTGGCCTTGTCCTCAGTATATGGCAAAGTGATAGTTTTAAAGGTCATGGTGGGTTAAGATTAGAACATATGTTATAGTAAACTGATAAAATAAATTGGGATTTAGACATGATAATATTTGAAATGTATTTATTTACTATTTGATTTGTTGGGTACAGTTGATGTTATATTGAATAGTAATTTAAAAAGTTAAAAAATAGGAAAAAGAAACTGAATTCAGTATTTGCCATCTCAGTGATTGCTTGGATTTTTGACATTTCATAATGGTTTTTTATCATGTAGGGTTACAGTTCCATGAAGGATATAATGAATGATAGCATATCAGACATGAAAAATAAATATTTCTGTGATTAATTTAGTTAGTAACTGTATGGTATGACTATTAGTGATTAAATGGAAGTGAAGATAGTGCCAAACTACAGCGGCAATAGCCAAATAATTGAAGACACTTCTCAAATTGCTTTTATTTGGATAAGAAATGTTCTAGTTTTCCCATTATTTTCATGTATTAGTCTAAGCAGTGACCAATATCAAAATACTATGTATATCAGATTTTTTTTTTAAACAGGAAATGCAAGAGAATGTGAAGAAATGCAAAAACTTTTTAGCTACCCTGATAAAACTTGCTTCCCATAATTCACCTTCTCCAGAAACATCCCATAATGTGAAAGCTCTGGTTCAGGATTTGCTGGTAAATATTAAGCTGTGTTAATTGTGTATTGTACGTGCTGTTTATAGATGCTGAAAATTGTTATTGAATTTGATACTCATCTATTTTTAGCTTCTGCTTGCAGTACAGAAATGTTGAAAGGTAAAAGTGATGCATAAAAATGGTCATACAAATTTTTCTGCACTGAATGCAACCTCACAATTGATTGTTAATCAAGCTGTATTTTCTTTTGCTTGTAGCGGGTTAAAATGCTGATTAATGTCACAATATTTAATAAACATTATGAACAATACTCTTGTTTTGATGGATAATATTTTGATAAAGTTTATTTAGAAATATAATAAATATGTTTTGTGAGAGCTCTCTGTGGCTCTTATCCTGTAAGCTGTCGTCTCTTATGTCACGATTAAAGTCCCATTCAAGTAATTTGGGCTCTGTAGGGATGTAGGGATCTGCCTTTCCGAAACAGCTTGCATGATCGGGGACTAACTGAAACATTTTTCTAAGAAGTCACTAAGGCCAAGATTCTGTAAACAGAGCCCTGGGGGTCTTTTTGCAAGAGTGGGGCCTGAATGCCTGTGGATTTCAAAAATTCCAAACTTAAACAAAATGACTTACGTGACCAAAATAGTATTTTCAGTAGATGGAATCTATGTGATTGGTCCTGCAGAAAAACTGACTTATGGTAGCCTCCAGTACTACAAATATTTCAGTGTACACTACAGAACAGATATACACTGCAAACAGACTTTATCAAAGGCTTTGACAAATAGTCAAGCTCGCATTGTTTGTGTATGCCAAGGAATATGCACCTGAAAGAAGAAGATGGTCTTGAATTGATCATCAAGGAACACTTGCACATTTTAAACATTTTGATTTGGAAAGTCTAAGACTCTTTACCACATAAAAGTGATCCAACAAAAATATTAGTGGTTCCAATAAAAATTAGTTTGAACTTTTGAAAACTAATAGTTTTAAAGAATTAAAGTTTAAAACATTGAAAAATAAATATAGCAGGTATATTTTGTTTCTTCTCTACTATACTATATTAACCACAGAGAGTCTCAAGAGTAGGATAGCTGAATCATTAGACAGCCTATAAGTATTTAACTAATGATAGTTTCAGAAACATTAAAAATGTACTTAGCTTCAATAGATCCTTCATCTTCACTAATAAACATACATACATATAATTCTTCTATTTTAAATCTTACTTCCAAAATTCTACTTGTTCACTCATCTGGGTGGTGGTGTTTTTTAACCATCGAGTAAAGTATCTTTTTCTTATTCTGATAGGTTTTGTGCCAGGGCTAGTAAATGTTATAATAGTTTTTCAAGGTTGTTTTTAAATACCAATTTTTGGATTAGTATTTTAAAGAAATCACTGTCTGAAAGTTATCAACAGAATGGAAGTATTGAATAAAGACTTGCATGTTTGTGGGATCCAGTTGTTTCTTTAAGTGTGCATCCCTGAGGGAGTTGCATACATAAAGGTCACAGGTTCCTGAGTTCTGAGAAGCACAGTGTGTGTGTGTGTGTGTGTGTGTGTGTGTGTGTATATATATGTGTGTATATTAGTTCTTGATAGAAAGATTTGATAGCCGTGGATGAGTTTGAGAGACTTTAAACTTTAGAAGTCCCTGTTGATCTATGGCTTATCTATTGAGATATATAAATATTTCCACAATGTTAGCCTGTCCTAGTATATGTTCTCATTCTTTGAGAAAACAGAAACATCCCAAATAGTTATTTTTTTTTTCTCCCCTCCAGGATGCAAAGATTGATCCAGAAGAATTTACAGGCTGCCTTCAGTCAGAGCTGAAATCATCTCCTCAGCCATATCTAGTACCTTTCCTGAAGGTGAATATAAATATTGTTTAGCTCTTAAATGTATCTACCGAATAGGCTTCCTTACTTCAGGTTTAAATTTTTTTAGAATCTACAAACTAGCACACAATATGTAATCAGTTTTGACTGTCTAGAACATTTTAGTTAAGATCACATAGAAAAAGAAGACAAACTCTAATTTAGAAACATAAATATTCTGTGGGTTACTTGAATATTATATTCCTATATTTAAATGGAAAATGTGAAGAAGTGGGTTGTCTTTGGCAGCTTTATTACATCACATTTAATATAGGTAGTTAAAGACCACGCACATGACTTTAGGTATCTTACTGTTGTAATGGGTTTACTTTTCTATGATAAATAAACACAGTATTGTCTATAATAAAGTACACCAGTCAGAAGTGGATGGTAGGTTACTTCATCAGTATGTTTGTAGTACCCATATTGAGATACTTTTTTCTAGTGCTTTTGTCTTGTCTAAATAAGAGCAATCAAGTACATTCAGTGTACATGGCAGTGTGTAAGGGAGATTACTAAATGCTTCTCTGGAACATGCTGATGCTTTTTGTTGAAATAATTGATTAGTAAATTCTGTCAGGGTGGTCCTCTTGGGGCAGGGCTCACCTATAATGAGGAACATCGGGAGAAATATTATAAAATGTGGTATCAAATGGGATTGTTTCTTGTACCCCCAAATTAGCATATGCGGTTAAATTTTGTTTGCCTTACTTATTCAAAACTATCATTGACTTCCAGCTGCTTACCTATGTGAACAGAGTAAGCAGAATTTGGCGCTCTGGTACTCAACATTAGCTCCTAGATGTAAAACATGTATGTTTTGTTGTTCACCCACATCCCAGTTGTCATGGTTTTCTATTTTTCTCCCAACTTGCAATCTGTCAGTTTAGGGCAGAATTTTCCTCTCATTTTTTAATTCTTCCTTTCCTTTCCTTTTCTTTCCTTTCCTTTCTCCTCTCTTCTCTCCTAGGATATAATTAACCCTTTCTTTTTACTCTCTTCCCTGCTTTCCTTCTTCAGCCATCTCTGGCAAAAAGTTCTAACTTCTTCCCTTTCTTTGAAGTCATTTCTTGGCAACAACAATTACGTTTTTAAATAAAAAACAAAAGTTAAAAGTGACTACAGCCTGGGGTAAGCACTGCGAAACCCTGCAGCTGCCTGGAGGAGCACTTCAAAAGAACATAATATAAAAAGTAAAAAGTTTATTCATAAAATACAGTGTACTCTTTTAGAACTTTTTTTTGGATGAACCAGTCTGAACATGAAGCACACAATAGCACACTTTTCTAATGAAGTCAGTACAGTACATCAGTAATAATACAGTACGCAGCTATTGCCCTAAGACACCCACAATTAAATCTTCTGGCTTTAGGTACTCTATGTGGAGAGGTATCTTACTGCAGTCCTAGGAGGGGTGCAGTTTATTTCTGGCAGCACACAGTGGGGATGGAGCTCATTTCTGCCCTTCTGCTTTTCCCCATCCACTTTTTGCTTCTCACAGGATCTAAATCCATGCTTCAGGTAGTCCTAATGGGCTGCTGGTTTTGGGGCCTTACTCCCCTGTGTGGTGGGATTAGGATAGGTCAGGGGTCGTCAATGAAGTTTAACAAAGACAAATGCAAAGTGCTCCACTTAGGAAGAAAAAATCAGTTTCACACATACAGAATGGGAAGAGACAGTCTAGGAAGGAGTACGGCAGAAAGGGATCTAGGGGTTATAGTGGACCACAAGCTAAATATGAGTCAACAGTGTGATGCTGTTGCAAAAAAAAGCAAACATGATTCTGGGATGTATTAACAGGTGTGTTGTGAGCAAGACACGAGAAGTCATTCTTCTGCTCTACTCTGCTCTGGTTAGGCCTCAGCTGGAGTATTGTGTCCAGTTCTGGGCACCGCATTTCAAGAAAGATGTGGAGAAATTGGAAAGGGTCCAGAGAAGAGCAACAAGAATGATTAAAGGTCTTGAGAACATGACTTATGAAGGAAGGCTGAAAGAATTGGGTTTGTTTAGTTTGGAAAAGAG